CCTTGTTTAGATTTCGAGAACAATCACACAAAATTTAATGAAACAATATTTGAAATGTGTGTATCGTAAATCTGTGTTTGCAATTTCGTAAGATCGAATGTATAGAAGTATTTTAAATATTAAACGTCATACAAAGTAGTAATATAATTGTAATAATATGATAATAAAAATATGATTTAAGGCAATAGTAATAAATAGATAATAGAATATAATTTAAAGGAAAGCTTTTAATACTTATTAACAATTATAATTTTGTTCATATCATATCATATATTTGACTGCGTTAAAAAGTAAGTTGCGAGCAAGATGGGTAAACAAAATGGCCGACACGTAAAGAAAATGGTGGAAAAAAATCTCGTAATTTGTTGATTTTTGTTAGTTAACTTGTTAAATTTACAAACATTCTAATTCAGAAATTTAGTAGTTTGAAATGTGGAAATTCGGAAATTTTAACATATTTTTATTTTAAAATTTAAGGAATTGCAAACTTGTGAATTTCGGAATCCAAAAATTTTTCAGTTCAGAAATTGATAATATTGTATTTTAAGAATATGAGAGTTTTATTTAAACATCCAGGAAATTCAACATTTTTTAATTTGTGAATTTGAAAAATGAACAATTTATAAATTTCAAAATCTTTCTTCCTCTCGCTTCTAGGAAATGAATTTATTAAATTCCTAAGTTTTTAAATATCTCAAATTTACATAGACACAAATTTCCGAATCACGCAACTCAGAAATTTCCTATATTTTTGAACTCAGACTTTTTCGAAAGTAATTTTTCAACGAATTTTGAAAATTAATTAAATACCAAAGCGTGACGGTGCTTTTTTCTCACAGATCGCCACTTTTCCCAAAGAAGTCTTCCTCTATACAAATAAACATTTCAATTGATAGATATAGCATAGTCAAACAAACTAAAATAAACGAAACAAATTGCAATAGTAAATAATAACAGTTTCTTTTCACAAATAGAACGAATATTTATTTTTCCTCATAGTTCGCCACTTTTCCCAAAAAAGTCTTCCTCTATACAAATAAACATTTCAGTTGTTACATATAACATAGTCAAACCGAATAAAATAAACAAAACAAATTGTAACAATAAATAATAACAGTTTCTTTTCACAAATAGTACGAATATTTGTTATAATGTACTAAATGCATCATTAAACAAAATTGTTAGCATATTTTTGCAATACATTAATTTTCATTATGAACATCTGTTGATCGCTTTAGATATTCCTATACCTTTTTTTATAAATCATGATCACACTGCGGTCATAATATACCATTGAAATGCAGCGAGCTAAAGGAATAAGCAATGAAAGGAAGCAAGAATAACAGTTCAATTATTTTAAGTGCTGTACGTAAGATTTTTTAGACAGGAGCCTGCTAATATTGTTCAAAACTTGCTCCCTCATTGTGAGTTACTTTTTATTAGTTATTTTTACGTCTTTATACTGCTCTCATTATATCTTCGTATATAGGGTGTTTTTTTTCTGTATAATTTATGAGCAAAGTTGAGGAAAAAATAAATAGAAGCCTTGAAGTATTTGGTTAAAAAGTTATAACGAAGATACGGAATGACGATCTACTTTACTATTCAAGTTCTTAGAATAGAAATTTGGAAATTTGAACATTTCAATATTTAGTTTTCTTTTTGGTTTTAAATTTTTGAACTTTGAAATTTTATAATTTATTGAGTTGAATATTTGCAAGTTTGTTTATAAGTTGATTTATAAGTTTACAAGTTTACAAGTGGACAAGATGATAAGTCGACAAGATTACAAAATTACATGTTTACAAGTTCACAAGTTAGAAGTTTACAAGATTACAAATTTACAAATTTACAAATTTACAATTTTACAAATATACAGATCTGCAGATTATCAGCTTTTCAGTTCTCCAATAAGCAAATTAACAAACTTTCAAATCTATTAGTAGCCAGAGGAAAAGTTTGAATGCGATTACACATGGCACTCCGTAAAAAAATGGCGCCGTATTTGCCTCGAAAAAGTTGACGAACTTACTCATCGTACTAAGTGATATAATTGAATCGATTACTTACTTGTGATTACTTATCGTCTAAAGTGCTATAATTGAATTGAAAGCGTACTGGAAACAACTTAGTTTAAGCATATCTTAAACTATTATGTTGAAGTACAGAGAAGTTGTTTTGTTACAGAAATTGTTACAGAAAAAATTATGATTAACACAGTTTCGCTACTTCTTTTTACATAAGACCATTAAATATTTTAATTTAATTGACAACTTATTACGAATTAATATTTAATTCGCAATTAATGGAGTTTTAATTTAATTTAATGTAACTTAATTGTAATTAACGGGAATTTAATTTAATCTTAATTAAATGTAATTTAATTTAATTTAATTTAATCATAATTAAATTTCTTTCAATTACGATGAAAATTAGAATTGTGAATTATATAATTTTCTAATCAAGAATTGAGGTTTAATTTTCAATTCAATTTTTAATGTTTAATTTAAGAAAGTCATAAATAAAATATTACAGGATAATAATTAAGAATGTCTTCTATTACGAGTTTTTGATATTTGATTTGACGAATTTAAATTAAAAATTAAATTTTAATTTTCAATTATAAAACATTGAATTAACAATTAAGTTTTAATTGTCAGTAAAAAAATTCGAATTGTCATGAAAACTTAATCGTTTAATTGTTATAAAAGCGTAATTAAAAATATGAAAACTGTAAACTAAACGCGTGGCAGCTGTCGTTATTACTCTTTTATACGTTTTGTATCTTTTATACTTTCGTTATATTTTTATACCTTGTTATACTGTGTTACATTTTTTAATACTCGTTCTAGGTATTAACAAAAGTAATATTCGATAATATATTTATGTACTTTTGTATATTAACAAAATTAATAATTTAATATTCTTCAATAGTACAATTAATTTTCTTAGATATTTTTGTATACTAACAGAACCAGTTAATAATTTAACCAGTTAAGTATGTTTGACGACTATATCCGTCATGGAGATCTGGCAGAATTTTGTGTCATGACGACTATATCCGTTACTGCGTAAAATTTTGTTACAATCTGATATTTAAATTGTAATTTTGGCGAAAACTAAATTATATTCATAAATTGTAATATGTTTAAAATGTTTAGAGGTCAACGCGAAATGAAATAAACAAATAAAAAGTGTAAATAATTTGAAATGGATTCATAAATTCTTGAGAGCTAACTCGTCATCGCTTGATTATCACGACACACACTGGTGCGCGCTTTGCAAAAAGATCGCCACAGTTAACTGGTTAATACTCATTAATACCATTGTGTACTACCAAAATTAGCAGTTTAATAGTCGTTAATACTGTTGGGTAGAGAAAAGCGAACTGCATAAAACGGCGCATTGAAAATATATGATTTAAAAAACGAGCTTACATTCACATCTTCTCTAAAGCACAAGAATACAATCACTCAAATAATTTCTTAAAATCACGTAACTTTTGTCTCAAACATGTTTGTATCAAACTTTTAAATATATTTGGGTCGATGACACCCTGTACATTTAAAAGCAGTAAATGCATTAAACATTTTTGGGCCAAATCAACCAGTTCCTAAGAAAAATTACTCCATATTTATTCATCGATTCTTCATACAATTATGACAATCGAAATAATGTGATATCTGTTATGGATATAATGATACGAATTTCTTTACAACTGATACTTCTGTGACTGTGATTTTGCGGTTCCATATTGCAGTTCCAAAACAGTTCCATGTAGAATCGATACTCGTATCTACTTTGCAGCTGTCGAGAACCTTAGATATTTCAAAATCGATACCAGTATCGTTTCTAGAACCGCTTTAGAATCGAAATATAGAACTGGAAAATAACAGTTATAAAACCGATATAATATCGGTTCTGAAAAACTCAAGCGGAAACCGATACGAGCAAGAACCGTTATATCCGTAACAGTTATGACATTATTTCGGTTTTCATAACAGTTTCAAGAATCGAAACCGTATCATAGCTATTTTCAATCCCTAAGTCAGTCATCGTTGACTGCTACCACGAATTTAATCCTTATATCAATAATCCACATCCATGTGGACGTTTAAGAATTTATTATGTTTCTTTTGGAACACAATGGCGCATGCTGAAATAAATCGGTTCTGGAACCTTCTTCCTTTAAAATATTTAAAATATATTAACGTAATTGTCTTTCGAAAATATATCATCCATTACAGTTATTTAAAAAAACGAAAACAAATGTAAAAACAATGAATTAATTTATTATTTATTAAGGTTAAAACTCAATTTTTAAAATATTACCCCTTAACATTTTTTTCTTCATATTACTAATCTTTTTAAAACTTTATTAAATTTCTTTAACATTTTAAACGACGCCAGTTCACAATAAATTCGTGAGTCATTTCGTATTTTTATTATAACCTTTTAACAAAGTATCAAACCCTACTTCAATATTTCCTTTCTTTAGGAATAGATAATGTTAAATAAATTAAAATAGGAACACTCTATATGTACATGAGAATGTGTTATGTAGTACGTGAATGTAATATTCAAATTGTACCACAATTATTTTAGTTATTAATGCCAGGATTAATTAAACACTCATGAAAGGAGAAAGATAAATCCTAACTCCACTTATACCTAATACCTTAATTATTAACCTGAACATAATAATGTGAACCTTAATTGAATAATATGATAACTCTAACCTAAGACCTTAATCATCAGCTTAATCAATGAAATTTCACATAAAAAGCATTTTGCTACCACGAAATCGAATACCCGAATATATCATTAATTTATTCAAAACATGCTGTTCATACAATCTGAAAACCTTGCGTTATAACTGTGCCATTACACTTCATTAAGCTCGCAAACCAAGTATTCTAAATTGCCTCACACAAACATTTCACAGATACAGAATAGTTCGTAAGACTAAAAAGCTTAATTAAAGCAATAAACATACTCACCATGATGCGAATTATGATGATGGTGTTCCGTGATGTCTCCCATGAACTCGTCGCACGGGGCTGAATCGTGTCTCCTACGACGACGATGATGATGATGATGATGGTGGTGGTGATGGTGATGATGATGATGATGACTCTTCCTTCGATGTTGATGATGATTCAGCGAGGAGGAGGCAGTCGAAGTGGAAGTTAGTCTGAGCCGACGGGGACTGGCTGGCGCGCTACCGGAACGTTTGCTCAATGCCGAGGAAGCTTTGATTGCTTCCACCTTCGTTTCCACCAGAGCAGCGAGGACGGCTTCGAGACGTGCCACCTCCATTCCACTGCCACCGTCGTCCGTCGAGACTGCCTTGTCAGCGACATCGGAAGTCGACGGAGTCACCGTCATCTCTTCACCTGCTGTTGTCACATTACGTTCACCACCCTCGATGGTGACCACTTTTCGATAAGAAAGGTCGCGGGACTTCTCGACGGCCCGCTCACCGTACGGTCACAAAACCGACGACACGTCACCGCGTGACTTCTTCTTCTTCTTTCCGCGTTCTTCCGTGAAACTATCCGCCGAGAGCTCTCGGATAAATCGGGACAACATGAAGCTGATTACTCGGCCCTTTTCATCGGTTGTTACAGACACCGGGGGTGTTTCTCGCTCCGAGCAGCTTTCAAACTTCCCGCCAAGATGATGCTTGATAATTTCTGCGGAATAGAACGCGCGAACACCGCATATTCGATGCTTTTGTGCGAGGTACGAATGTTATCGATAACCTTTTTCCCTTTATATCTTTCGAATAACGTTAACGTCACCGGCAATGGTGGTGACTTTCTTGCTTCTGCGGAATGGAGTTTTTACCGATGTTCCTTTGTTCGCATTAAACGTTCTCCGTGGTTAGAAGAAAACGACCGCAGAAGATTTTTCTCTTCCGTTCTGGTGTTCCGTAAGATTAAGAGCATCGACCATTGTGCGGAAACGAGATAAGCAGCGTAGCTCGTTTAAAAAAGAAAGATCAGCACGTCGTCGCTGCGTCAGGATGAAAATTATCTTTATCTACGTTTCTTGTTCTTGACATTTTCTTAATTACCAGCGATTCGTAGCGACGTTCGAGCACTGATTACATCGACTCGTTATCCGAAATATGATCTCAAGGATCTCTCTATGTAGGATTAAAGAAGGTGCTCGACAACCTCTTGACAAGCGTTTCCTCTTTAGTTGGCTGAACAAAATTGCCCCCTCAATCGATCAACCACATTATCTAACAACGGTTATCAAGAGTACCATGCTGTTTAACAGATCAACCAGTTCGCATTTCATTTCGCTAGTGGGTTTCGATAGAATTTGCTCGATTTCCGCCTCCATCATGGATAAACCCGATGCTCTTCCACTTCTCGCTACGACCAATTGATCATTCGGAGCTGCGGATTTAACACACGATCGAACACGAAGAATCATCTACAATTCATTTCAATGCACCGTGTCAAACAGGTCCCGAAATTTTCTTCCGCTCCGGTTCGAATGACAAAAGTTTATTCACTCGTTCACAATTTTCTAGAAATTAGTACCGTTGCGATCCGTTCGTAAGTTGACGATACACCATCGAATCAACAGCGCTTACTTGAATCGGCGATATTTACAGCTGCTATGCGGCGATTGCAGCCAACCGTAATCCTCTATGGCTTCGATCCGACGTAAATGTTCCGTCCGGTCGACTATACGGTAACAAGTGCCCTCAGAATGTTCAGAAAGTACGTGAATCGACCGAGCAATTGAAGCGGCAAACTTAAAGGTGTATCGAGCTACGAGGGATTGACCGTCGTGACATCCTTTCGGAATAAAAGAAAGACCCCCGGAAAAGTGCCGCGGACACTTATTCCCGCGTGGCCAACTTCCCTCGACCCTTCCTGCTTTCTCGCGTACCTAATGACCTCGTTCCTTTGTGAAACGCGAAACGAAGCTTGGTCGAAACACGTAGCCATGTCAGGCAGCGTTCACTGCGATACACCGCCGGTTGCTTGTGTCAAGTGTTTTCGAAACAGGAAAAAGGGAGGCAAAGGCCGAGGGAAGCCACCACTCGGAATTACTGCTGCGAACGCGATCAAAATTTAGCCCGCAGTCCGAACGATTAGATGTCATTCGGTACATTAGTGACGTTAATTGCACAGCGAATGAGCATTTTTCTCGAATTTATCGTCAATGTTGCTCCGTTAACGAATTCGCATATACTTGACGTTCATTAAACTTTATTCTGGAATGTCTTCGTCACCTGACGAGACACGAGTTCATCCCCATTGCAAAGATTCGATCGACAGAAATGTCCAATTGGATCGAAGTTTAGCATTCCTTTGAAGTTCCGAAAATTACCGGACAGAGATAAAGTCCTCATAAGTAACCCACGTTGAGTGAACGCAGAGGTCGTTAAATCTTGTCGCAGAACATGTGTTGTTGAACCGCGATTCTGAAGAAATCGTTTGTTGGCCTTCTCGGTGTTTATAAAAGCTCGGAATAGAGGATTGTCGGATGAATTCGAGGTCGAGAGTATCGGAAGGCCGCATCATAGGATTTCATGGGGGTAGCTCGTTCATGGGCACTCGTGGGATGCCCGCGCGGTGATTCCCGGCGAATCCATAGCTCAGGGCTCGGTGACGTGTTACGAAGGGACGGACAAAGGTGTCTTCTCCGAGTGATACATCGCGACAGGTCCAATTTCGAAGGTGGCGTGTACCACATCGAATCACGACACGGCACGGCACGGCACGACACGCCACAATCAACCAGTTCGCATTTCATTTCGCTAGTGGGTTTCGATAGAATTTGCTCGATTTCCGCCTCCATCATGGATAAACCCGATGCTCTTCCACTTCTCGCTACGACCAATTGATCATTCGGAGCTGCGGATTTAACACACGATCGAACACGAAGAATCATCTACAATTCATTTCAATGCACCGTGTCAAACAGGTCCCGAAATTTTCTTCCGCTCCGGTTCGAATGACAAAAGTTTATTCACTCGTTCACAATTTTCTAGAAATTAGTACCGTTGCGATCCGTTCGTAAGTTGACGATACACCATCGAATCAACAGCGCTTACTTGAATCGGCGATATTTACAGCTGCTATGCGGCGATTGCAGCCAACCGTAATCCTCTATGGCTTCGATCCGACGTAAATGTTCCGTCCGGTCGACTATACGGTAACAAGTGCCCTCAGAATGTTCAGAAAGTACGTGAATCGACCGAGCAATTGAAGCGGCAAACTTAAAGGTGTATCGAGCTACGAGGGATTGACCGTCGTGACATCCTTTCGGAATAAAAGAAAGACCCCCGGAAAAGTGCCGCGGACACTTATTCCCGCGTGGCCAACTTCCCTCGACCCTTCCTGCTTTCTCGCGTACCTAATGACCTCGTTCCTTTGTGAAACGCGAAACGAAGCTTGGTCGAAACACGTAGCCATGTCAGGCAGCGTTCACTGCGATACACCGCCGGTTGCTTGTGTCAAGTGTTTTCGAAACAGGAAAAAGGGAGGCAAAGGCCGAGGGAAGCCACCACTCGGAATTACTGCTGCGAACGCGATCAAAATTTAGCCCGCAGTCCGAACGATTAGATGTCATTCGGTACATTAGTGACGTTAATTGCACAGCGAATGAGCATTTTTCTCGAATTTATCGTCAATGTTGCTCCGTTAACGAATTCGCATATACTTGACGTTCATTAAACTTTATTCTGGAATGTCTTCGTCACCTGACGAGACACGAGTTCATCCCCATTGCAAAGATTCGATCGACAGAAATGTCCAATTGGATCGAAGTTTAGCATTCCTTTGAAGTTCCGAAAATTACCGGACAGAGATAAAGTCCTCATAAGTAACCCACGTTGAGTGAACGCAGAGGTCGTTAAATCTTGTCGCAGAACATGTGTTGTTGAACCGCGATTCTGAAGAAATCGTTTGTTGGCCTTCTCGGTGTTTATAAAAGCTCGGAATAGAGGATTGTCGGATGAATTCGAGGTCGAGAGTATCGGAAGGCCGCATCATAGGATTTCATGGGGGTAGCTCGTTCATGGGCACTCGTGGGATGCCCGCGCGGTGATTCCCGGCGAATCCATAGCTCAGGGCTCGGTGACGTGTTACGAAGGGACGGACAAAGGTGTCTTCTCCGAGTGATACATCGCGACAGGTCCAATTTCGAAGGTGGCGTGTACCACATCGAATCACGACACGGCACGGCACGGCACGACACGCCACATCACGTCACGTCGGGCACGCTGCCACTACGTTGCTTCGTACGTTTCGTAGTACGATGTGTGTCGACGTGATGGCGCGATAAACGCACATCCCCGGCCGAGGGATTTGCGTGCGCGAGTGTTAGCGATCGCTCGAATACTGGGAAGCGTCGTGGAGCAGACAGGGTTGGTAGGCAGGTGGCCGGTCTGGCAGGGATGCGTTCAGCCCTACCCCTTCCTATACCGACATCGCCACTTCCACTTTGCTAGGTTATGCTCCTCTTTCTCCGCTACCTTCTCCTGGCATCCACCATCTCCCTTCCTGCCGATACTCACCTTAGCGTATGTATCCGCAATCAGAGTGATACTGTGTTATATGATCACTTTTTGCCCCCGTAACGTACGACCAATATCGGCGACCCTGGATTCTGGATACACAATGCGTGCGTCCGCGGAAAGATTTATGATACCTCCCGAAATTATGCGCTTCACCATTCGCCGTGAAAACGTATAAAGTACAAACCCGTGTCGGCTGCCGGAATTTTTGTCTCCTGCGTACGAGGAATTAGTGCACGTCAAATGTTCTTTCGCGAGTTTCACAGTTTCGGTATTTATGGATAGAAAAATTATACAGGGCGAGCTACGGAAAAACACTGGAATTTTTTTCATAGAGGAAAGTTTCGAAGATGAAATAAAGCTTAGTCTAAATCAGATACCTGTTTTTTTGATTGATGTTTCTTGAAGTTATTTTGAGATCACTGTATACTTATTATGTAACAGCTAACAACCTTGAGTACAGAAATTAAAGCACAATACCAAGAGATGCGATTTTTGTTTTGTGTAAACTGTACAATTTGTGTTAATTATGCAAATCTACGGGGAAAATGTATTTCGGTGGTACATGATTGCTCAGTGTAGATTAAAATTGCAACACCTTTGAGGTTTTAGTGTGCATATCACCACTATATGTATATTATTGAGTGTATAAACTTTGAATGCATATTTAAAGCACAATAGAGAAATGAATATAGACATATTTTGTAGTTATTTTCTTCATTTATCTTCTACAGTTTTTCCCTTGGTAAAGATTTGTAAAATTGTTGATTTAAGTATATTTGTTATTCGCAATTTTAGTGTATTAAAAATTGCTGACCTTTACACTGCGCAAAGTTATGAATGGCTCACTTGTTTCTTGTTTAGAAACATTC